AATAGCACAACTCTAGTCAGAAGGAAATACATGGGGAAAAAAAGAAGGAAGTACAAAGTAAAGGAAAACAGAATTTTAAAAAATAATTTACGAGGGAAGTTCTTTATTACTTTTATTAATTCTAAAATGTCATCTTCCTTTAAAAAAATTTAAAATTGGAACGACAGATTATTTTCTTCACTGCTGTAAATACTACAAAGTTACCAGCAGAGAGGTGCATATCACAATTTTCCCTTAAGCTTGCATGTCTCAGGGAGCAATAACAGATTATAAACCTCGTTTGACCTGATCTTATAAAAAGTCCCTCCAGCCGTCTTCAGTCCTGTGTCTCCAGACAGATCTCCAGGGTAGGTCTGTGTCACTCCGTCCATCCACAATAGGCCGGGTAGGGCAGTCTGTAGTAACTGCCAGGATACCACCTTCTGTTCTGGGCTGCTGGACTGGCATTTGGCTTTACGTTCCAAGAGTACCTCCTCTGTAAATAGTTCTCTCCAGGGGGACCAGGAGGAGGAATATGGCCTCTCTGGTAAACGTTCTGATTCTGTGAAAATGTTCTTAAACAAAACAAAAGTAATAAACTATTCTTAGCTTTAATAAAATACATAAGCTTTATAAAATAATACATAGACACTCTGGTTCTACTGTTTTCTACCTGTGTGATTTTAGCAGGCAAAATTGCTTAATCTTTGGATTTCTTAGTTGTTTATAAAATGGAGCTGATAATACTTCCCATCTTCCTGGGTTGTTCTGAAGGTAAATTTAAGATGATGTATTTAAATTACCCACCACAACACCCTGACACACTGTAGTTTCTAGAAGTCTTTCCACCTTTCCCTATAGAGATAAATGCCTACACTATTCTCATCAGATACTTTCCAAGTCTGGAAGGGATGATATGAAACAGAAGCTATTTATTTCTGAAAACAGAAACTTGCTTTCACTTTACAAATAAATACACAGATAAATCAATTATCAAGTGTAGAAATTCTAGCCATGGCATGTACAACAAACTTGGAAAATTAAAATTTGTTTCAAAAGCAAGATCAGGAAAATCTAATATGATCATAAAATAGGAAATCTGGAAATCTGACAAGTAAACACGCCCCCCCCATCCTACTTAATCTGATTAAACTGGTTCATGCCTCCTTTTGGTCTATTTCTCCCTAGCATCTTTTCTGACTGTTGAATCATAACCTGTTGTTTTCACTTATCGTAAGTGAGCTATCACTTTCAATGGCTTTATAAAATTATCATAGTATAGATATAATAATTTACTTGGCTATTTTTCACTGTTAGAAATACAAGCTGCTACCAATTTTTCCACTACTGCAAATGATGCTGGGATTAATGTCTCAGAACATATACCACTGTATCCTGAGCGCCTAGTCCAGTGTCTGATACATAGTAGGGAGTTTGAGAAATGTGGTGAATGATTTAAATGTAGCTTTTCCCATATTTTGAAGGATTTGCTTAGTCTCAACATAGAATTACCATGTATGAGCATGTTTATGGCTGTGACAGTTATGTTTCAAAGGAGCTATATCACTTTCCAGTGCCACTGGCAACACAAGCACCATCTTTTTAAAATGTTTACGTCTTCTAAAAATGCCAGGGGGAGGGTAGAGCTCAGCGGTACAGCGCGTGATTAGGACGCACAAGGTCCTGGGTTCAATCCCAGTACCTATGTTAAAATGAATGAATGAACAAACCTAATTACCTACCCTCCCCCCAAAACAATAAAAATGCCAACATCGTTTTGAAAGTTTAAAGATTACAATGTGCTGAAGTATTTTATTAACTCGTGTACTAATCAACAACAATCCCAAGCTATATGTTGTTAAAATTTTTACTTACAATATTATTAAAGTTTCCATCTGACTGATGAGAAAATAGAAATTTAGAGATCTTACCCAAGATCGCACAGAGGGTGAAGAGCAGAGCCAGGATGCAAATGCAGGTCCAACCTGACAGCCACTACCCTGGGCTGTCTTATCAGAAACAGTTGCTAAATTAACAGGCAAAGAATAGTACCTTGCTAGTTTAACTGAGCTTTTCCCCATTTCCCAAGCAAATATATGTTTGTGATTTATGTGTTCAACTCCTTTACACATTTCTCTACTGAAATTTTACTGTTTTCCCTACAATTTGTGTTTACCCTTAAATAACAACCTTCCTTATTCTGAAAACTATACCAGTACCACTGTAGCCTAAGAATAAGAGCTCACTTCCGGTGCGCGCGTCAGATTGCTGGCTTAGACCAAGCTCAATAATCCATAAAAATCTCCAAGTCCTTTTCCCAGTTGCTTCTGAAAAGTCACGTATTCTCTGTCCTATACTTGATTTTCCAGCCCTAAATGCAAAATATGGAGCAAATGGTACCTCTTGGTTGACACTGACCAGCAAGGAAACACTAATTCTTCACTATTATCATAATGTATTTGTGTTAGTTTATAATATTAATTTCTATTTCAATTCTATAAACAAGGAAAGCAGAGATACCTTACTGACTGCTGAAAATCCTGGGTCTTGGTGTAGAAATGCCGAGAAGGTGGTGGGTAACCTTGGGTCCAGTGGAGGTTATGCCTAGGTCCTTGGTTAACAGACCTGTAAGGGGTGTGGACTGGTCCCATCATATGTGCTGAGTCTTCAAAACCACTTGATCTTGATATACTGGAATCTTGATTCCTCAAAGAGAGTGTTTCCACACAATATTACTGGTTTCCAAATTTAGCAGCCAATTTAGTTGACTACATTTTGGCCCATGAAAGTAACAATCCCGTCCTCCCCAAATTCCTATTTGTTCAGGTTTCCCAGAGCAAGTGAACAAACTACAAGAAGAATGGTTACGTGCAACTTAAATGATACAAAACTACATCTCCCTGACCACAGCTACTACGCATAAAATGCCACTTACTTTCTCATGGGACCATTTCGAAGGTCTTCAATGTAGTTTTGTCTTTCTAAGCAATGTCCTCAGCACCTATTGAATACTGAGTCCACACAATATTACTGGTTTCCAAATTTAGCAGCCAATTTAGTGACTACATTTTGGCCCATGAAAGTAACAA